CAGTTTTAATGAGTACGTACGATCGGATTTCAATTCTCGCTGCCGCGGTGTAGATTGATACGATACGTATCGCGTACGATACTCATCTGCGATCTCCCCCCGGAACCGGGTATGGAACGAAATCCAAACCCCGGGAACGAGTGCCAATCCGCATCGATCAGATTCTATAAACGCGCCGCACTTTCTCTCCTGCGTGATTTCCCTTGTGGTGAAACGGAACGCGTCGTGCGAATATCGAATCAGTCTTTGCGATGCGAGAATTGGAATTCCGCGGATCGGACGAGATTGGAAAATAAACCACCCTTTGTATATTCAAACTCTAAGAAATAAATGATCTCTGACAAATTTTGGAAAACTTCGACATTTTGGCTAACAAATTACATGAATTTTATTAAATAAGACTAAAAGTGTCATTAAATGCGATTTTTTTACATATGTAAATTTAATATATAATACATAAGAGAATTAATCACAAATCAAATTTAGCAATTAAATAAATATTAATAAATGCGGTGACTTTTTCGATGGAATTTTTGCCACGCGTGAAGTATGAGAGAGACGTGGGATTTTCGCGAAATACGCAACGCACGCAGAATGCAGCAATTTTTCGTGCGCGCGTGCTAGAGCGCTCTCGGAGCTTCATCGGAATTTCCGTTCTCTCGAGTTTCTCTCTCTTCGCCGTTCTCAACCCTTTCCCCGATTCGGTCAGAGTTCTTCCCTGTCGTAAACGTGACTAACGACCGGGAGAAAGACGCGACATCGTCGAGAACGGGATCCTGATGTCACCGCGACAGAAAAGCATTGTCCGTCATGCGTGCGTGAATGTTATAAATGACGCGTCGCATCTTCGATGTCATATATCTTCAATGATATATCACGCTCTGTAATCATTTTTTAAATTATATGATATGTACAATGAATTGTTTTTGAATAATTTTTTCTTAGAGTTGCGCGATCTAAATAAAAATTTATTTAGAAATGAGATACGAAAGTATATCATACGCAGACAATTACATTTTTTATTTTTTTGAGAGAGAGAGAGGAAGGATGAAAATTTTATCGATAGGTTTGCGAGTATCACGGTGACATTTGCGCTCGTTCCCGGCACGGTGGAACAAACATCGTCGTAAGAGGAATAGAGGGGAAGGATGGATGCTGGCGTAGCAAGATGGTCCACAAGGACCATGTCTTGACATTGATTGTCGTGAAAAGTGCAAAGTTGGGATATAGCCTGGCTACGGACAGACGGATCTATCATGGATGGATGGATGGATGGATACACGGTCGTAGACTGGTCTTTCATAAAATATGCAGGCTGCAATCACGTCTCTTGAATGGAAGAGAGCTTGAAAAAAAAAGTAAGAAGGGGCGACAGTGCATAGTTGGTTGGGGGTGAGATGATGGCGTCGTTGGGGAAGCAGAGAAGGGGTGAAGGAAAGAGGACCGGGGGGAAGGAAGGGGAAGCGCGGGAGGACATGCCTCTATATACGAAGAGCAAGACCCGCAATACTGCTGAAGCTGCGAGTCCACGACTGGATTCGCTGTGCTTGCGTTCGCAAAAAACGTTCATAACTAGCCAATCCCGCTGTTGCGCATTATGTCAACGACCGCATCCGATGGATCTTTGCGTTTGTGTGTGTAAATGCGTCGGAAATGCATCCTTGTATGTTGTATGCGATACGTTTCGTCCAAATCGCTTAATATCCACGAGCACTTTGAAATTTGAGAATATATCGGCGGATTTCGATAAAAAGGCGAAACTTACAATTTCGTTTTACTAGAGAGAGAGAGAGAGAGAGAGAGAGAGAGAGAGAGAATGAGACGGTGGCCATGATTTTTTATGTTACGACTTTGAAAGATTTGATTCTCGAAATAATCAAAAATTAAAATTGTTATACAAAATTAAAATACGATATAACAAAATTATGGAGCAACCTGTATCGGCGTAAAATTGTTTGCGTTGCGCAAAATACGACGCTTTACTGCGTGCCGATACATTACGTATGCGATGACTATTATATGCGGGAAAAGCGTAGCGTGGCGTGAAAATTTCAGATATCGGTGGGAGTTCAAAGGGTCGATCAACTCGATGATTCCCGTGCTTTGAATTTGAAAGAAACTATTTAAATTGTAAAAATCTGACCCAGATTTCGCGTCGAGGGAGCGTGCGCGAGATACTTTGTATAGGATCCCTTCGGTCCCTTCAATCACTCGGAAATTAAAATTCATCGAAAACCGTATTCGCGTGCAAACTTGTCATCTATTCGGTGTAAGCAACAATTACCACACGAAATCAATAGAACTCCGCCATGCAGTAACTTAATGCCATCTATGAAAATCGGGCACGAACTTATGCAATCATCCAATACATTGCCGTAATAAAAATTCAATCTCGAAAATTAACTAACACACAGAGATCGGCGTAATTAAATTGCAATATCAAATTATCATTAGCATATCTTACTCGTGTCATTTTAAAATTGACAATAAATATATACACATTTTGTTAAAAGTTAATATTGAAGCTAAAATTGCATCAATTTTGTCACGTTTCTCGAAACGTTCTTACGTCGCACGCATAAATACACGTACACACATAATTTCCTCCAGAAGCGTAAAAACTATTTGCACGACGTGTTTAGCGTCGAGAAGCAGAACGTTCCTTAAAAGGGGCAGACATTGGATGGTTCTAGAGGATTCAGAAAACCGGTCGAAAGGGATTCAACCGGGGAAAAGCATAGACCGAGCTGGAGTGGCACCCACTTCTCGCTGAGATATGCATGAGCTGGCTGAAGTTACGCTACAACTACGCTGCTTACATAATATAAACTCTCGAGGGGTCACCCTCGACTGAGGCACCCGGAAAAACTGGTAGGCGCCGTCTGATGGGGTAGCTCGACGACCACGAGGAGCTATTTAATTTTTTATACATACGTGCGATATATTTTATTGAGTATTGTCGTGATGGGCAGCGTGCTTTCGTCGTGTTGTCGCGTTTGAGAAGTGAAAATATTGCCGATCATCGCTGTTTTTCTTGAAGATTCACTGCTGGTCTCAGATTGTGTGTATCCTTTGTTGGCGAGAATATTCAAATACGCGCAAGAAATATTGTATTTCGGAGGGACACTTAAAATGTCAAGATTAGAATCTTTGGTTTCAATGATATTTTTCCCCCGGCTCTTTCGTACTTGAGTTCATTTTAAACGTAATATTTCTACATCAATTTTTCAATCGAATAAATCTTCATTCTTCTTCTCCTCTACTAAATTATAAAAAGATAAAATTAGACAGAAAGAGACAATAAAAATCAATAAAAAATAAGAAAAGAGTCTTATATTTCGTGACGGATATTCTAGACGTAATAATTTTATGTTATAGTCTCTGTTATAGTTTTATATTAGTCTCGTTCGATAAAATAGAGAGAGAGAGAGAGAGAGATTTCTATTTTTTTTTCCTAATTTATTAAACTGTGTATAAAAGAAAAAATTACGAGGAAGCTAAGAATCGTTGAGAACAGAAATCATCCTTCATCCATCTTCGATTTCTTTTTTTATTCTCAGGATTTTCGTTATCGAGCATCCTCGTTTCGCGAGTCGCGCGAGATCGCCGGGTTGACACATTGATGCAGATTAAAGGACATTTATGACGGCGATAAAGCGCACGCAATTCCCGCGGTCTAAACCGCCGACATCAGTCCCGCAAAGTTACGGCCGTCAGTCGGCGGTGGCGGCAGTAACGATGAATCGTCGAGGGATAAGTTGCCCGAATGATGGGCAACTTTCGGTCTTTTCTCCGACAGTATACCGGGAGGAGATTTCCGACGCGGTTCGTTAAGCTCGTACGTACACACCGTAAAACACGCTACCGTCCGACTTGTATGCCTTGCCGGAAAACTCCTCTCTCCCTTCCTGTTTCCTCATATTGTTGCATCGCGCTTGTATCTCAGTTTTCCTATCGCGCAACTTGCAACAAATATTTATAATCGTGCTCTCCAAAGTTTCAGCGAGTTGTAGGGGACCGAGATATTCTACTAAATTGCCGATCAATATCTATTATTAATCATTAATCATGATATAATGTGACGATACAACGCAATGTGATTATCGCGTCGAGATCGGCTTTAATAATGCAGTTATATTTTGCGTTAATGAAACGGAATCAATCGAATTTGCTACTAATTATATTTTTGACCATTTAAATTTATAATTCATAGAATAATATGCATTGGCCACAATCACGCTGGGATTATTTAATACGGTATATATTATTTATATTATGCATATGAAATTGTATTTATTATTAAAATAAGAGCAGAGTGCTTTATGTGTTTGATTAATTAATTAATATATTAAAATAATGCTAATACATATAAAAATGAGGATAATAAACAAATAATAAAATATATAAAGTATATATTTTTTGGTTTCGAATTTATTTTCATCGAAATTGTAGAAAACAGATAACGAAAAAATATTAATCTTTCTCGTTACTCGTTCATTTTTCCGATATTCTTGAGATTTTCCATCGCGTATGTATCTAACGAAGAGAGGTACAGGAAATTACATAACATGATATAATAGAGAGAATTAGTAGTCTCGTAACTGTAAATTACAATTATTACCGCTACCGGCGCGCACGAATTATGGAGATAACATTACGTATTGCGCTTATTATTCGCACTGCTGCTACGTTCGTGCATACTTGTCCGGAATTGCGGCATACTATTCATCAAAGCGATTCCATATTTTTAAGATTGCACTTTGCATCGTAAACGTCAATTTGTTATCGCAGTATTTTCGTAATACTAGGCTATACTGTTTTTTAATATATAATATTGTTTATTAGTTTCATCCTGAAAGATTTAACTAAAATTAAAATTTGGTGTTAAATTTAAATTAAAGATTTAAAAAATTCAGTTATTTATGCATTTAGTTGTCTTTTCACATGTATAAAGATTATTGGAGGAGAAATAACACGTTACGTTTCTCTTCTGCTTTCAGATCGGGCGGTTGATGCCTGATGGCGCGGGCTGGAACACAACGCTGGAGAAATCCTGCTCCAGAGTAAGTAGACTCGACTAACCAATCACAAAATAAGCATGCGATAAGATGCAATAAGATCTTGCATAGCCAAATTGGCGCACAATGCTACTTCAAACGAACACGTGGCCAAGTGTCAAGAAATAAGATAACAGAAACAGATAATAAACGCTCGTTAAACATACGCGAAGAAATTATCATTTCTTGGCTATTTCGTTTTCGGTTCGAATCCTCAATTTCGCAGTCTCGTATCGTCGATCGCTTCGTGTTCGAGGTTTCGCTAAATACCTCGTCGTGTTTCTAAACCGCCAAGGAACAAACGAATAAACAAATAAACAATACTTTGGCCATTTTTGGGCGACGCGAAACCCGAAAACTTTGCCGGGTCGTACACACCACTCCTCGCCAAGAGAGTTCGATATAAAAATAGCGAAAGCGCGACGGTAGAACTTCTTTTCGCGAGGCCACCAGCGGATTTGAATAAAGCCGAGGGGAGAGCATTTCTCGGCAAGTTTCTCGAAGATTGTGGAAGTTTGTTTCGCTTGCTCTTTGAAACCGATGTCCGCGATCCCTTTTCTCGTCCTTCGGTATCTTTTTTTCCTCACCGGGGACGTGAAAGCCACTGCGAGTCGCGTAGATGGACCCAGCCAGCATAATGGAGAACGTAACTTTTCAACGAACTCTTAAATTGGAAGATTTATCGATCGAATCTCTCTTTCGATAGTTGTAAGGAGTACTTTAGCTTGCGAATCCTGGCTGACATTCTCAGTTTTACCGCGCGGAATGATGTTCTCTTAAAGTCGCGCGTTTATTGCTCTCGAGCACGAGAACTCGTGTCTTTCGCGCCATCAGTTACGTAACGAATTGAGATGTTTCAGAGTCGAGCATTATTTAATTCGAATATATCACATCAAAACAACATTAAACCGCGTAATGTAACCGCGATTCTAATAAACAGAGCTCAGCTAACATGCTCTTTCTCCTTTTTAACGTCTGGTTAAGAGCGGCATGTACGTATGAATGTGAACGTAGATAGAAGAATAATTCTCTTGGCTCGTTATTCGCGAAATGGCGGAGTACGTCGCGGTCGAGGGATTCAGGGATTCAGTTTGTACGTGTAACCGCGGCTCTTTGTGGCTGGGTTTCTCAGAGGATCGGGAGATTGCCTCCTCGTCGGTTCGTGGCGATGTACACAGCTGTTCGCCGTTCGAGCCCGCCATCCTTCAGGCTCGATAGGGCAGACCGAAGGAGCTCGGGTATCTTTGATCAAAGACGCTCCTCGATTGGATACCCTGTCGTGATTCCAATGATGAATAATTGAGGAGCGAGCTACGAGAAATTTTGCTGCGCCAGCGTTATTTCATCGCCAAGATCGCCGACGAGTATCGAACGTTAAATTTCTTTCGCTCTCGTCATCGTCGAGCGCGATGCCATCTCCTCGGTCCAGTGTTGGTCTTACATTTATACATAATGTATTGCGATAACTTATATCTTATGCTCGAAAGTGACGTTTGACTATGATAATTATTTTTCATAAAAACACAATGATAATTTTTATAATCGCCGATTATCGAATTTATCATACACAATTGTTGTCTGCGAAATTCAATCGTCCCTTCTGTTTATATAAATCTTAAAATCATTTCTTCTCATTTCGGGACCCAAGACTGCACGTCGGAATAAAAATCGTATCTCAGCCTTGCACCGGCTCTCCCTTTGCACAGCTTTACCGTCGGCTCGGAATTTAAATCGCCCAAGGCTTAAAAGGGTCAGAGACGAGTGCTTGGCAAAAGGGTTGATTTTGAATACACGCCACTTTTTTCGCGTCGTTCGTGTCGCGCAAAAGCCTCGTGTCGTTGAATTCGTTATCCTTACGCAGGTCGGTATTCAAATCAATGCAAAAAAGTATATAAGTTAAATTCTAAAAAGAATAGTATCGAAAATACACGTTCCTTACGCAGGTCGGTATTCAAATCAATGCAAAAAAGTATATAAGTTAAATTCTAAAAAGAATAATGTAATGAGACAATTTTTGATATTTTGTAGATAGACTTTAGCTCGCATTATTGTGCGAGACTGTAATTAAATTATTTAATTATTAAATTCTCTCTCGAAAATACACGTCGAAATCATCGATTTTAATCTTGACAGTCTTCAAGTTTCGAGAATCGATTTCTCCTTAATTAAAACGTCTAGATACAAATGGAGTCCAATTAAAAACGATCAAGGGTTTCCCGCAAATTGTAATATTCCCTTATATGCGCTCACGTATCAAAATATACATCAAGTAAACCAACGTATCGACGCTTGATTTCGCGACGCGAACAGTCTTGTTTTCTTCTTTTTCCTCGCCAATTCCCTTTATAGCGTCCCAATTATAGACAATAGTCTGGACTGTCTCGTTAGCCGACCATCGCTTTAAAACGAGCGACTCGAAAGAAAGAACACTCCATCCCACAGACAAGTGGATTTTCCCGCGATGTTGCTGATTAATGCGTTGCGTGAGCCGGATTAATTATCGATTATCACTCCCGCGGACGGATCGCGCGGATGGATTGATTATTTACTTATCATGAAACTTTTGATGGCTAACGAGCGATCGGTATCGATTCGGGTGGCGAATGTAATGTTTTCAGGGATCTCGTCTGCGTTTCTCTCTATGGCTCGCCGGTAATACCGTCGGTACGCGATATACCGCCAGTCTTTTCACTTACTGTTGAATCCACCGGTTCGCCGGTAAAAAGCTCTCTCGCGATACATGTAACTTCGAGAGAGCCGGACGAGTGGTGCCGAAGATGAACTCTCTAAAAGATTGACTCTGGCGCGCGCGAGATTACGGGGTATTACGAGAGACGCCGCGCACTTTACGTAGGACTGCGTGAAAAGCTCAAACACTTTCTACTCGGATTTTCATTCTAAAGATTATTTCATTTCTATTTTTTACTTATTAAGTGATATAAATCAACTTAATTTTCCGACGTAAAACAATCAGTATTTAATGGAAATATATATATGTAAGAAGTTTTTGGTAAATTCAGTTTTTTTTTTTCTATATAGAAAAATTTTAAATTTTTCATAAAGCTGGTGTACAAAAATTCGTCACTTTATAAAAAAAACTATCTTTTCTTTTTTATAAAAGAAAAAATCGATTTTAGAAAAAAAATTTTTAATTAATAAAATATTTTAGTTATATATCGGGCATAACAAAAATGATACTTCTATCGTTGATAATCATTTAGCGGTTGATGTTTTCATCTTACGCTTAAATGAACAATACACTAAATGAAATAAAAAAGTACGTCAATCAGTGGTGCGATAATTATTTCTATATAAAGCGTGAAATTCGCCAAGGTTAACCTGCATGTGACTATCTTAAATATGACAATAGCATAAATGCGCTTTCGACCTACATCGCGACAATGATGTATAGTCGCGGAGGAATCGCACGATTTCGAATACGAGGAAATGTTTCTTAGCGATTGTCGAAGGCAGAACAACGCGATATGTTTTTCCCTGGATCTTTCCACGTTTGCTTTCACAGCTCACATACTCGCGAAAGACATATTGTAAAACTTAATAAAAAGGCTGGAATTCGAAATTGCGATTATTGTTCTACATGCGACTCGAAATCTTCCCTCAATAATTATATATTTAATAATTATACTCTCACAATTGTCTAGCAAGAAACTTTCGTATTATTAAATGGTAACTTTAAGAAGTACGATTATATTTAAAAATAAACAGGTTCGGTATTAATTGAATCATTTTGCAAGAGGAAAAATAAGAAAAATCACGCGCAGCTTTTGCTGCTGCAAGGTTTTAGCTCGTTTTAGTACCTCGACGAAATTACTCGAGTGATGGACGCATCGACACCGATAATGAGCTCGCGCCGCGGGACTCGCCCTATTACACGATATTGCACAACGTAACGTGACGCAATGGCGGGCCGCCCGGTATCTCGATGACGGATCGTTAACAGCTGATTGTAACGTTTGACGAAGCGTCACGCATCTTACCTGCAATTTCACGCTTCACGCATCCGCGGCACACATCATCGTTTCTCCGAGATCGTCGGATCGCGGTCGATATACCGCGCGTATCAAAATCGTTGGTCTGTTAATTCTTTTCCCGTTGAACCGATCCATTATTGGCGTTATCTTTCCGCGATCATGACCGCGTGACTGGCGGAATTTCCGATCCCCTTTCGCACTTCGCGCGCCGAGTCATTAATGAGTGACGGTAATAACGCGGGACGACTGTCAAGAGGCAGCGCGAACATCATGATTGATAGCGAGTGATAAAGGGTGGTGTACCCCGCTCGCGCGGGAACACACGTGTTCACACCCTATTTTCCCTTCAAGCGCCGTGTGTTAGTCGCAATTAACTCCGACACTGTAAAATCACCCCGGGTTATTGCAGTAAAATCATTCCGGCATAGTTTCCCGGAATGTTTTTCCATAATCGTTTCTCGAATATGAACGCTTATTAAATTCATCTTTTTATTTTATATCTCACCATACGTGAAAATTTAGAATAAGAAAGAGGGCCAGAATTTTTTCTCTCATGATTAATCTACGATGAATATAAACAATAAACATCACACACAAAAATATATTAAATATTAGACTTTATTAAAGGAATTCGACAAAAAATATAAGATGATGAAATATATAACGTTCAAGTGAAAGGCGTTAATTAAAATAAGCATGTTGGAAGTGAAATATTTTATTTTATTATACTTAAGTTCTTTTAAACGCACGTTCTGATTATTACAGAACCATAACGGCAAACACGATCGAACATAGATAATCGATAACGGTGTTTCCGAACGGTATAAGCCGGCGAGCGATAACCTTCGCACAGAAACGATCGATCTGTCGTGAATATCGGAATTAAATGCGAACACGCGGCGGAAGAGACGCAGCCATAGCGTGATCGGTCGCGTCAAACGGAACGAGACTCGTGGGTACTAATCAGAAATTAGGTTAACGATCGGAAATTGCAAAACGTCCTCGGGGAGCGAC